TTTTAAAGAATCTTTATTGAACAAGTCAGGATACAATTCTCAGTAAACAGAAAAGGCGCTAATCCAATCACCGAACGCGCACGGCCAATCTCGACGTAAGGCCTTCTAGCTGGCCCAAGTACGCAGACGATTGGCTATTGCAACCTGACTGTGCCCGTTCATTTACAGCGCACAGGGGCCTGCTCTGTTTAATCTGAAGGCCCCGAGCAAGTTTAATTTACCTGGCAACACAAGCTCGATGAAATATGATTGGTTAAAAACTCTACCATAATAAATAAGTTATTTATCGAGTGGCTTTCAATGTTATTTTGAAAGCCACTCGACTAAGTGGAAATAATATGACGTAAAGAATACAGAGAATAATTTTGTTTCCATATTTATGAAAATAAAATAACATAAATTAATGTTATTCTCAGAAAAGTAAATTTACTTTTCTGAGAATGTTTAGGCCAGCAGAGAAGGCCTTGCTGGCCCTGAGGGTCCGCCACTGGTTTTTACTCAATGTGTTTAAATGCTGTCAGTGTAATTTTAATAATATGAATTCATAATTGCATTGAATAGCAATTTTTGTAAGAAACTTCTGTATTCTCTGCCTTGCTTCTGAATGTCGTTGACTGTTCTGTTTGCAAATGCTTTTTGGTGTTGTGTCTTTGATTGTGTGAAGCACATTGAGTTGCCTTGTGTATGAAATGTGCTCTATAATTAAGACTGCCTTGCCTTTCAGACTACTACTCTGCACAATTATTAGACGAGTATTTTGACCATATCATTTTTATGCACATTTTCCAACTCCAAGCTGTATAAACTGTTCAAAATACTCAATTGCTTAATAATTGTGTTGTGTTATGTTTTGTATTCATTTTTCAAAAAATTTTTTATCCTCAGTCTTTCTCTCTTTTTAGTATGTGCTCCTGCTTTCTGTGCCACAGACAAAAGAGCTACTTTTAAGGTTTTAAATATACCGTATTTTCCGCACTATAGGGCGCACCAAAAAGTCTACCATTTTCTTAAACCCTCACCGAGCGCCTTAAAATCTGGTGCGTCTTGTGTATGGTCATTACGGTAATACGTCGACCCCAAGATGGCTCCTTGCTGGAGACATGCTTACAATGTTATAACTTGCTGTTGGTTCAGTGAACTGTGTCGCTTCTTTATTAAATAAGTTTTTGTTGCAACTCTGAAAAAAGGAGAGCGGTGGTGTTGTTTTTTAAAACAGTCTCAACAAATGCAGGTACGTCTTTGTCCGTCTCCGTGCCTTCTCTTCTTTTGTTCGACTCGAGAGGCGTTCAAGACCGCCTCCGAAAAATGTAAACTAACGATTACTTCAACGAAACTCCGAAAATTGAAAATAATACATCAAAACTGAAAAGCAAGGGAGGATATCATAAAATAAATTCTATAGCCCCCCCCTACAGAATTTATATTGTGATTTCATCATTTGTGAAGACACAACAAAGGAATAAATAACTACTACTGACATCTGATCGTTCTGTTGGAGCTATGATCAAGGAAATGCCGATTAGTTTTTCGGAGGCGGTCATGAACGCATCTCGAGTTGAACGGAAGAAGAGAAGGCACGGAGACGGACAAAGACACACCTGTATTTGTTGAAAAAAGGAGAGCTGTGGTTTTATTTTTTTTTTCAACGCAGACTTTATTAATGGTTTTCACAGTCTCAACAAATATACGTCTTTGTTCGTCTCCGTGCCTTCTCTTCTTCCGTTCCACTCGAGAGGCGTTCATGGCCGCCTTCGAAAAACGAAAATTAATGATTTCTTCAATGAAACGACGAAGAAAATCAAGCGAGGAAATCACAAAAGAAATTCTGTAGGGGGGGATATAGAATTTATTTTTTGATTTCCTCGCTTGATTTTCTGTTTTGATGCATTATTTTCAATTTTCGTAGTTTCATTTAAGTACAGTAATAGTTAATTTACGTTTTTCAGAGGCGGTCATGAACGCCTCTCGAGTTGAACGGACGCCTCTCGAGTTGAATGGAAGGAGCGTAGCACCATCTAGTGGAGGCATTGTATATTGCGCCTTATAATGTGAAGCGTCCAATGTATGAAAAAAAAGACAAAATAGCCATTCTTTGAAGGTGCGCCTCATAATCCAGTGCACCTTTTAGTGCGGAAAATACGGTATTCATATTTTAAACTAGAGATTTCATGAAAATATTGCCAGACTTATGAAGTGTGGCTAATAAATACACTTGATGCACACACCTTCGTCTCTCATGTTCATATCTATCTTGGGTCCAGCATTTCTCTCTCTGAAGGAAATTCCCTCGAGGTGGCGCTGCAGAATCTCTTGGATCACATCATAAAGAGGCTGCTCCTGTACGAAAAACACTGTATATCTCAATATATAATTCAACATGATAGAATTTTTGGGTACCATATTTTCACAACCAGAGGGCGCACCTAAAAGTCTTAAATTTTCTCCAAAATGGACAGGGGGCCTAATGATGTGTCTTGTCTATGCACCGAGTTCCAAAATCTGCTAATGCTGTTGCCTGACTTCGATGAGTGTTCCGCTTGACTGACTGATGTTGCACCGACACCTTGTTATATAGAGGAAAGGCGGATGTAACTGAAGACAGCAAGCGGACGATAAAGTGCGAAGCAAGATCATGAAAGAGGACGCTAAAGGGACGTCCCCAGTAAGTGTATCTAAGTGCATCTAGTATACAGCACATGCATTGTGCAAAACTACATTCCAAAAATGGCACCTACGAACACACGCTTACGAAGCAGTTTAAACTGCAAGATATCAGTTACGCGGAGGACTATGGGAATCAAGTAGCCGCGAGAGAATTCACGATCAACTAATCCATGGTGCATGGTGATTTTGTTTTGTTAAACAGTGCCATCTATCCATTCGGGTAAGGACGAGTGTGGTGCGGCAACCCAGCTGATTACCAGGAAAAGCGACCCACTTCCGCTCCTACTACAGTAAAAAGTGTATTTTTTTTTTGCGGTGCATTAAATAAGGACGCCTTCTTGGAGATTTGGCTTCCATGACAGACGGTTCCCTCAATCAATCCCTATATTCTGAGCTTACCAACTTGGGCAAAGGCAAGTGATGAGTGACAAGCATACCTTGCATTTTGAAATACAACAAAAAGATTGCCGACAAATTCATCCAGCCCAACCACATCAACAACATGGACAGAGAGCCCCTCATTTTCGACATCCCAGTGAACCACACTGTAGAGAAGAAGGGGACCAGCATGGTTGCGATATGCACAGCGGAGCGTGAAAAGTCGGCTTTTACTGTTGTCTTGGTTGCCACCAATGTTCCCTCTAATTTTTCATATGTCACACAGATAACCTCCCTGAGCACACCTAGGACCACTGTGAGCAACATCAGAAGCGCATGCTGTGGCCACACACCAGACCAGTATCACAGCTGTCAGAAAGTTTCAAGGCTTATTAAAAGAAACAAATTATAGCAGCAATTAAGGCATTCATTTTGATGGCAAGTAAAATATTGTCAATGAGAACTTTAACTTGCTCAGGGTCAGATTTTTTTTCTGTGGGACAGCCGATTCTTTTTCTCCCCGCAATAATGTACCAATCCCTTATCCCATCTTGAGTGTTCATATAATTCCAACAGCATTCAAATGACTTTTCTGCTGAATGTGTCGCTTGAGGTAGTCCAGCTTCCATTTAGTCCATATTTTTCCATCGGAAAAGTTGCTTACAACCTTAGCTTAGCTGCATATTTGGCAGAGCAGACCTTTCTCACCCGAAAAAGAAAAGATCTCACACAGTTTCACCGCTTGTTCTTTTATTTTCACATACTCCGACAGCCATTCCAACTTAAAAGAACCACAGTTCATTTTTGTTTTGGCTTGAGGAGTCGACGCATCACATTCACTGCCCGCTCGTTTCGCAGTGATAAAGGGTTAGCATTAGCGTCACTTATCTCCGCCGCATTGTTATTGTTATGGAGCGTGTATGAGCAGGGCACATGTCAGTGCCGTGATTGGCTGCATTAGCATCATTGCATCGTATCGTATAATTGACTGGACAACTGTCACAGCAAAATGATACAGAAAAAAATTAAAATATCTAATTCATTTGCAGTGTTTCACTGCGCTAGATAGGTTTTCTTGTGCACTGAGAGTCTGTGACCAGTGTGCATTGGTTGCCACGGTAAAGGACAGAAACTGCCCAAGACGCTGCCTAAAACAAAAATTACCAGCCGGAGTCATGTTTAAGGTCAATCAAAAGGGCTGAATGGATGAGCAGAAAATGAGAGAGTGGCTGAGTGAGGTGTACGTAAAGAGACTGTCCCTGTTGATCTATGACTCCACGCACGGCGGCCATCTCACAGTCGCTGTGAAAAATCAAGCGCAGCAAATGAACTCAGAGCTTGCCATCATACCGGGAGGCTTGACAAAGGTACTTCAACTGCCGGACATCGGTGTCAACAGGGCGTTCAAAGTGAAGTTGTGAGCAGCGTGGGAGCGATGGCAAACATAGCTTTACTAAGGGTAGGAGGCAGCGGCGAGAGAGTTGCGCCACAATTAGTAAAAGGATTTTGGATGCCTGAGCTAATGTGTCTGCTTGCACCGTTGGAGCTTTCGCAAAAGCCGTTATCATTTCTGAGGAGCCGCACAGCAACGGGACTGACTCTGATAATGACACGAGGGAACCGTGTTTGATGGAGAACTTGCCTAGCTGTTCATTTCGGACACAGAAGATGATGATTTTGATGGATTTGTGGATAAGGATTGATAAAAAAAATAACGTGAGTACATTGTTAAATACTTCAATAAGTACAACCAAACTCGGTTTTGCTCCTGCTGCCTTTTTAAAAACAGCCGCAAGTGCATTGCTACCGTATTTTTTAAGCTAGCGTACGTTTTACCACTGCTGCGTCCATTAATACAGTGCGTGTTGTGAATGTGTTAAACACAGAAATAGCACCCCCAACTCACACTGTGCCCCTTAATACGGTGCACCGTATGGTCGTGAGAATATGGTAATTGCAAGTTGAATGATTCAGATTGTTTTGAATAATGGCAATTTTGGGAGGGTCATACCACGTCTCCTGGTGTGCAGGGCTCACTTTCATCAGTTGGGTACATGCGCGTGACAGGAGACTGGAGGATACAATGTCCTTGCGGAACATGGCGGGCATAATCCTGAAAAATAATGAAATAGTATTGTATTATAATGGATGATTGGAAATGGAGGGAAAAAAAGACAAATCATGTGATCATATAGCGGAAAACCATTTAGATGAAGTATTTTCCCATTTAGCATCTGTTGACCTGTTGACCTTGTTTATATATGATATTGCCTGAGTGTGCATTTGCAATCCAAGCATATTAGATTGTAATTGCAGCTCAGTGCCCACCGTCCCAAAAAAAAAGAAGTCTAAATCAAGTTAGCAGTCACAACAATTGCTTCCTTGGGTTAACGTCAGAATAAAAGAATTTTAAGGCATCAACATCTTTGTGCAGTATTAGTTGTGAGACTTTTATTTTGAAGTTGTCATTGCGGCATGTTGCATCGGATGAGCAACCGTCATGGTGGTATGCTTGACTTCGCTGGCGCTCACAGAAACGGTGGCTAGACTTGAGCGGTGGAGGCAGCTGAACATGGACGGGGACACTGCCGACTGGGCGGTGATCTCGCTCTTTGTTCAATTTATGTTTTTTAGTTATCATACATTTACATATTATTAATAATGAACTGATTATGCTTGTAATGAGGAACGCTTATGCCTGCAATGATAAATTGATTATGGCTGCAATGAAGAACACTTATGTTTTTAACAAAGTGTCAGAGATTTTCTCGGACAAAGTTAAAGAAATGACTCGGCACACAGGAAAATTGTCTTCAATATCGACGGAAGCGGATCTCTGAGAGCGAACGACGGTTTAGTTGCTCCTTGATCACGCTCAGAGCCCCCCCTCCTCGAGTTCGAACCTTTATTGTGACATATGCAAAATACAAGAAAAACACTGCCCCCGATATTTGCATACCGCACCCCTGGTCCGGCCCCTCGGTAGTGATTGGTTACCTGGGTGTGAGCTTTGAACCACCGGCAATTTGGCGCCTTTCGGTCTGGTCTACACTGTATCAACATATCACAGACTTTGCGGACGACAAATGTCGCCTGGGCGCGACGGGTGTCCTCAAATCGTCTTTTGTTGTTCAACCGCTGTTCCCAAATTACTCGTTCCCCCTTTGTGACCGGATCTGGCACTCTCTCCTCTGATCGCCCACCCGCCTTGATGTGTTAATTGTGGTGTGGGCTGCAACAGCCCTCAGCCCAAATGGCCGGCACCTTCTGAACAGGAATTTGGGGGTGCTAATTACGCACCCAGACGCTTCGACGTGCCCAGATCAAATGAGACTTCAAACATGATACAATTTCGCCCATAGATTCCTCTAACACAAAGATATGCTCACATTTATAATAAAGAATGCTTCGTGCACTGTGTGACAGTTGAGGGACGCAACCACCTTTCCGAGAAAGTGGTTGGGAAGAGATAAGGTAATAAGACAAAACAAGAGCAAGGTCGGATGTGGATGGAGCTGTCAACACCAGCGGCAACTTACTTGGAATTTTTGTAATAATTACACACATGTACCGGTACGGAATTTTCACACACACACACACACACACACACACACACACACACATATAGTCAAACAAGTTCAGTGTGTCTTCAACAGCCCTCACCCTTTCGGTTGGACACACCCATGTATTAGATTCCCAATGAGAAATAAATGAGAGGGCGAGCGGGGAGATTCATGGGTGAAGTGCGGAGAACTGAAACCTAACACTTTTCCTCGTTCCCGCCTTGAGTGATTTGGTACCAGAATCCAGTGTCTCCTCTCCTCATTGGGTCTTTATTATGAATGTCTAATTGATATCTCTAACAGTCTTGTTGTGCCCCGTTTTCGACGGTCTGTCAAAATACGTGAAAGCCGTCTGTTGTGCAAAAAGGTTTGGTCACGCTGCCCTTAACTGTGCTAAATTAGCTCTCAGTTTCGTTATTGTATAATATTTTACAATTATCAACTACTCAGCTGTCAAGTTATTGGTGCATGCTGTTTGACACCAAACAAAAACAGTTGTGAGAAAAATGTCACCTTCACTGACCTCCCCTTTTGTCATATTTCACCAGAACTTTGGTGCCATTTGAGTGTTCACTTTAGCACATCGCAGGATCCCAGAAGACAGCTCCACTCTCTCTGTATTACAATCATGAAGCAATAGTTGGGTCCCTCTGCATTTCTCAGTCTTATTTATAATAAACACTTTCGACTGTTTAAATGAAAAGTGGATTTTTATTTATGTATTTATATCCCTGATACACCTCTGCGGTATGCCTTTAAATGGACATTCCAGTTTCCTCCTACCTGGAGGCACTGCAGCCACCACCACACAGCATCACGACAGTTGTATCTGGCAAAGCGACCCTCTCCAAGCAGATTTGGAATTAAACCATGACGTAATGTCCCTGCGAAGGCCAAGATGATGTTTCTAAGGACACAGCAAAGGGCCTCAATTATTGTTCAAGTACTGTATCCAAAAAGAAAGTCATATAATGACATAAAAGAATCAAACATGTATGCAGACACAGATGCATACCGGGCTTCGGTGTGTCTCCCAGTGAGCAGCATCAGTCCTCTGAGAGCAATAAAAGTGTCTCTGCCCCAGCAACGGAAAATTCCAGTTGAGAAATGAGGAAGACCTGATAGAATAAATTGCAATGAGTATTAATCGCGAGGAGCCAAAAAAGCACATTTTTAAACGCTTTAGTAGGTTGGTGACCTGCAGCCACTGTCACACAGCACTGCTCTTTCTGGCCAGTTATTGGGCTGATGCAATACGGAACGTTGTCAATTTTCTTCGAAAGAGCAGGAAGGGCAGGGAAGCGTCCGACTCCACACATCTGAAGTGAAGCCAACGCCAAGTGTCGTACAAAGCTTGAGCCTCTCTGTATGAAACTGAAAAAAATATATGTTTAAGTAGAAAATTTAATCTGCCTTGAGGTTCTTTTCGTGATTTGATTAACTCGTTCAATGTCAATAATGTTTTTTTCATGCTTTTTTAAAGAATCCAGGCATTTATTAATCCTAGGTACGTCTTTGTGTGTTTTAACTTTTTTTTTCACATGGTAGGGAAAAGAAAGGAATGAAAATAGATAGCACTGTCTGAGTTAATCACCATCAAATCATTAATCAGGACTGCATTCAGAGTTGCATGATGACAAAACAACTACCTTGACATGAGTTTGTAAGTTGCATCCAGAGCTGTGGTGAAAGTTGATACAAGGATAGCATCAAAGTAAGATGGAATGAGATAGCGTGGGATATGCTTCAGATAAGAAAACATGGCCTCCAGCCACTGTCCAACCTGCAGACATAAAATGATGAAAATAATTAAGTTGTCTTCATTACACGACTCAGATTTCACTGAGATAGTTTGAGTGGGAGCGATTCTTCTTCGTAGATGCTTATGTTCAAACATATACAAAGACATTTTAAAGGCTGTTAAAAGTTGTACCTGTGCCAGAGGTCCTTCCCTATGTTTAAGTCTATTGGCAATATATTCCATTAGCCAGTCACCTTGTCTGAGGTTAGAACACACAGGATGGCCCAGGTCATTGTTGGCACGAATATCAGCCAAAACTGACATCAGACCTGCATAGATATAACCACAAAATTGAGAATCAGGGACAGGTTGATCTGGACTTTTCCCATTACACGACTAATAAAGATCTATTCTATTGATATTACACCACCACATTCTGACATAATATTATTTTGGTGGTAACTAGAATAAAAATAGGTCGGGCACGGTGGACAACTGGTTAGCACGTCAGCCTCATAGTGGAGAGGTGCAGGGTTTGATTCCGGCTTCGGCCTTCCTGTGTGGAGTTTGCATTTGCTCCCCGTGCCTGAGTGGGTTTTCTCCGGGTACTCCGGTTTCCTCCCACATTCCAAAAACATGCATTGTAGGTTAATGGATGAGTATAAATTGTCCCTAGGTGTGATTGTGAGTGTGACTGGTTGTTTGCCTATGTGTGCCCCGCGATTGACTGGCAACCAGTTCAGGGTGTACTCCACCTACTGCCTGAAGTCAGCTGGGATAGGCTCCAGCACACCTGCAACCCTCAGGAGGATAAAGCATGTTTCCAAAAAGGTGGGACAGGCTTATGTTGACCACTGTGTTACATCATGTTTTATTTTAACAAGATTCAATAAAGGTTTGGGAACTGAATTGTTGAAGAGTTGTAGATGGAATTTTTTCCCATTCTTGCTTGATGTGCAGCTTCAGCTATTCAACAGTCCGGGTTTCCATTGTCCTATTTTACGCTTCATAATGCACCACAAACTTTCAATGGGAGACGGGTCTGGACTGCAGTCAGGCCAGTCTCGTGTCCGCACTCATTTACTACAAAACCACACTGTTGTAACAAGTACAGAATGTGTTTTGGCATTGTATTGCTGAAATACTGTAAGCAGGGGCAACCATGAAAAAGGTGTTGCTTGGATGACAGCCTGTGTTTATCCAAAACCAATACATTCAGTACCTACATCTGTACCTGTGGGTAAAAAAACAAAAAACAAAAAGGACGTTTCGCTTCTCTCACAGAAGCTTCGTCAGCGGTAGACAACTCTGAAGTCTCCGTGAAGACTCCGGGAGATTGCTCACCATAGGGGCGTGACTAACCATCCCCACCCAGTCCTCAAATAGGCCACGCTCAGCTTTTTAGCGCAGAGCAATCTCCCGGAGTCTTCACGGAGACTTCAGAGTTGTCTACCGCTGACGAAGCTTCTGTGAGAGAAGCAAAACGTCCTTTTTGTTTTTTTACCCACAGGTACAGATGACGACTGACGGAACCCTTTCTACGATGGAACTTTCCTGTACGACTGAGAGCCTCCACAAGCAATGGGGAACTTCGAGATAGAGAGCTAATGATGCTATAATGTTTCAACTTGCAAATGCATTCTTATTGTTATATGGCCAGAAACCGTATAAAAAGTGATACACTGTCACTTAATGAATAAAACGACGTGGTTTAGAATACAAAGAGAATTAAACAGAATGCCGGTGAATGTGTCAGTCATATGGATACGTCACAACAGCTACATCCATCATTGAAACAGATCAGTCTGTAGAACTGTAAATTTGAACATTTTTAGAGCGATTAACTCTTTTGAGATAATTCTGCTCATGTTTCTTAACGAGAGTTTTCAATCTTTTGTCACAAACAGAAAAAAAAAAAAAAATCAATATTACAAATTTTAAAAATTCACGTGCAGCGTGACATGCTCCCTAATATTGTCGTCGTTTATGTCATATTTGTTTGTTCTTGGCAGCCCTACGCCGCTTACGTACTTAAGAGAAGACTGGTAAGCATTAGGGAATCTACTCTCAGACTTTTTTCGCCAACACACACATTTTGTTTTCAATAATGTTAAATAGTTTTGGCGGAGGATAAACATGTTTCCGCTACTAAAGTGCACCCCTGCATACCTGTGGTTCGGGGTCTGCGGTTTCACCTGTTTGAGGATTTTGTTTTTTCAATTTTATGGAGGGATAGGAGGGGGTGTTTTTTGGTGGGGGTTGATACAACTCCAGTCTTCCGCGGAAATGCATATTTGGAGGTTAAAATCGTTTTGGGAAGAATTTTTAGGGTTTACAAAAAAATATTTGTTCTCCAATTTTATTTTCCCACTGCATTTCAATGGCCGTCAGTTATATGTGGATTTTCGCTTTTCTTGGGCGAGCACGTATTTTGTCCATATTTATGAGGCCCCCCCCATCTTATGTTATGACTGCACAAGAAAATATTGCTCCAACAGTGTTTATTATTTGTGATCCCGTGGTTGGACATGAGCAAATTCACCTATTTGCTGATTTTTTTGTGGGGTAACCTATCCTCAGTTGGTCATTAAAAACTCATCCATTGGCTGCTGTTGTGCTCAGGCCAAAGGCGTGTCTCATATACAAATATTGCTTTGCTGCCACCTTGTGGCATCTGTAGGCAATTCACTGGACTCCAATATCACTTACCTTGGAGGCCTGCATATTTAAAAGTTCCCCATTCTGGAATATTGTAACAACCTCCTCCGTCTTCTTGTTCTTCGGAATCGCAGCGAAATAGCAGCACATTCATGTCTGCTAGGGTTAACTTTGACATCAGCCTAGATGAGAGTTCATGATGATCAGTACTGTACAACATAGTGATGCTATACATGTTAAAACCACAAAAACAATTTATTTGCTGCTTATTTTCAATGTCTTTTTGCCCAGCTATTCCCTTGTTGTGTTAACATCATTCTACACATTTTACAAGAGTTTCAACAGTTTCAACAAGTGCAAATAGTTATTTTGCTGTCCGTCGTGGCAGAGGTGGCGTTCCTGCGAAGGCTGTGATGCAAAAGGTGAAAACATATATCGATGTGGACTCACTGTGCCAAAGGCATCTTCAGGACTTCAGATGGGTTCTCATCTGCTATACTGCCTTTTCTGTATTTTAGGCTGAATTGGGACAGAAAATACCGGAGTGCCCCAACCAACTTCTGGGCTTTGGGGTCCAAACTTACCCTACAAACAAAAGAAAGGGTTTAGCAATTTGTTTGTTTGTTTGTTTTGTTTGTTTGTTTATTGAACATATATAAAACATACAATAACGTGACAAAATGCAAACAAAAATTCTGAAAGGAAAATAAAAGTAAAAGTAAGTAATACAAACATCATCACAGTTATATGTTCAAAGGAGTAGGAAGAAGTATACAACTTATCTAATCCTACCCCTTGTTGTGCAATAATGTATATTGATCATTTCCAATACCAAAGAAAAGGAAGAAATCTAAATTTCATCAAATACTTTTACCCTTTTGTGTACTATACTTATCTATTGATACACCTTTCGGTTTGTATATATGTATAATTGTTCTTTCTACTTTTTATATCAAATGACTCATATTCATTATATATACTGCATTTCTTGAATACATTCAATAAGTTGTTCAAAATCCAGAACAAGAACAAACCATAGTATTACTATATTTTATAAGTACCAGTATATAAAATTTATCTTCTTAACTTTGTTTTATGTAGTTTTTTTGTACTAATCTTTTGAATTTGTTTTTGAACTCGTCCAAAGATTTACTCATTTTCAGATCCATCTCAAGCTTATTCCACAGATTAACTCCTATTACTGATACACACCTTTGCTTGATGTTTGTTCTTGTTCTGGATTTTTTGTATTGATTAATACCTCTTAGATTATAACAACTATCTCTAATTTCAAAAAACTTCTGGATATTTTGGCAGAGGAGATTATTCAATAATATGGTATGATCTATTGTATCAAAAGCTTTTTTTAGATCTAAAAAAATCCCAACCGTGAATTCTTTATTGTCTATGTTAGTTGCTATTGCTTCCACAAACTCCATTACTGCCATTAAGGTGGTACGTTTTTCTCTGAAGCCATATTGATTTTCACTTAACAGCCCGTGTTT